AAACAACTGAGTTATTTTTACACATCTGCCACCATCTGGCCAATCCACCACCTTTAATTGTTCATGCCGTTACAAGAAAAAAAAAATCATCGGCCCATAAAAACTAAAAATCACCATCGACCGACCAGGCAAATGCCCGGTATACCTGATGGCCAGTCCAGCTATGGTCGTGCCATCAATTAACCCTGGCACGCGTGCCCAGGATTGCCGACCCCTGACCTATACTAAGGGAAATGCACTGCATTCTTTAGTGAGGGACTTGTAGTTCTCATGTTTAAGAAAAAGTTTTGTGATAGCATTACTTTAATTTCTGAGGTTGCATTCACTCTATAAAGGCTCACCTCCCATTCAAATCACAATAGGTTGTGTGTGAATTTACACCTAACATTAACAGTAGATTTCCCTTATACTGACAGATGCTCATCACACTGACGTCAGGATGAGTATATAGAATAAATATGGAATGAGATCTACAATACCTAAGCAAAGAAAATGTCTTTACAGTCGAAGGAGACAGTAGGTTTGCTTTTCTTTTTTTTAGTTATTTCTAAACAGGTTGTGTCTACAGTACCATCTGTGTTCTCAGATGTGCTGGATCTCTACCATGTGATAGAGATCAGAATAAAAATAATCTCACTGTAAAATCTGCTTTTCAAATTTGTTGATGTGAGGCTGCAAACCAGGCTGTGTTGCATACAGAAAAAAGAAAGACTCATAAATGGATGCACTCATATTGCCCTTTTTTGACAAGCAAATTACTTCTATGGAGTGCAGTCAGTATATGTGACTATCTGTGGCATTCACTTACCAGTCCTGTAAGTGAGTCGAGTGGCAGTAACATGACTATATTATACAGTTCCAACCTGAGTGTGAGGCGCACTCTTCTCATAGAGTGAAGCAGCAGTAAGAAACAGACAACTAACTCATAAAAGGATAAAAAATATGGATGAAAACTGCTGAACACAAAACACAAATGCATACTTACAATACTTACGGACAAATCTGTCATGAACTGAGCCTTGTGGCCTGAGCAGTTGAGAGGTGAAATAAGAGAAAACTGAGACACGGTGTTGTCAATTAAACAGGGGTCTAACCCTGGCTTCATCCTGACACGGAGAAGGGATGAGAATGTGGACATTCCCCACACTTGTTCTCCTGTGTTTCCTAATCAAAGCCTGAGACAGAAGGAACAAAGAAAACTGCGCTGCCACAGAGTTTCCAGCAGAGCTGCGGTTTGTATTTTTCATGTTAAGTGAAAGGCGACCAAAATGCTTTTAAGGACTTGGGGAATTTTTCCTCTTCAGTGTCTTCAGAGCCAAAACATTCTGGTTGAAAGGAAGAAAGGGACTGAACAAATTAGTAAGTGAAACAGTAAAGGGGTAGAAATAAGAGAGGCCAGCTGCTCTACTTGCTGAGAGGAGAAAGAAATCAGTAGGAGATCCCAAATAGTTTGAGATGGAGCTACAAAAGACATCCTGAACAAGACTGCAGAAATATTAAAAAGGCTGAAGTAGATTCATACAGAAGCAGCCGGCTAAATAGTGCCACTCAGAGTGACACCTCCATTCAAGATCCCAGGGGTAGGTTATTTTAGTTGCATATACAGATACACACATCGGTATCCACGGTGATCTACCTCTGCTCACAGCAGCCCAGCAGTGGGCAACAGGCTGCTTGGACAACTATGAGAACTTGACAATGACTCAGCTCGCATAATTTAACACAGTGAGGTATGGAGAGCTGGAGCAGCGATGACCTCATTCCACTGCCTGGTTTGCCCTGCCTGTTGTGAGGGGTCCGAAAGAATGAACAGAGAGAAAGGGGGTCAGAGAGAAGAATGATGGCACCAGAGAGGTGTCCTATATCGAGACAAACACATTCTGAAGGCACAATAGGCCGGTAAGACTGAGTGTGTGTGTGTGTGTATTCAAAGTTTTGAAAACCACATTGAAAAAAATATACAAAGACAGGAGCTATATAATTAAGGTGCAACATTAACCTCATGTTATATAAATTTGTTTTCCCAGAACTTTGGGATCTAACTCTACACGAGCCACCTTAAAAGTTCCAAAACCAAACTTTAAAAATCAGATCCAAGGTCAATTTAGGCCTGAAATCTTTCAGCAACAACCATGTGGTAAAGCTGGCAGAGAGTTCACAACTTGTCTCAGAGGAAGTTAGTTAAAGTCCCATTTGGAGGTACTTCAGATTTGATACGATTTATTTAGTATGTGTTAGTACTTTGATCCATTAAAAGACATGTTTCTGTTGAAACAAATGTACCTCTACAAGCAGATATATATCTCAATATACTGGCTGGGCCTCTTCACATGGTCTAAACGTGGGCGATTTTCTTATTTTTTTAAATAACTGAATGTGACTTTTGGCCAGTTATGACTTCCCTGGAGTGGCGAGAGTCGCTGAAAGCAGAGACCAGAGAATAGCCTGAGGTCATGACAGGAAGCCTTCAGCACATCAGTCAGACACACAAACCCTGAAGCTTTACAGCTGCAGCAGGTCCACCAGACAGTTATAGCCCTTTTTCACTTATATCTACTCGACTTTGGACGTTTTCCATCACAACCCAGCACCACCTAACGCGTGTAGTGTTTTTATAGTGATACTGCCGAAAGTCCCGTGATGTCATTTGCATGTGACACGAATGCCATGGTATGGTGATGGCATGCCTTCTGCTTTGTCTATGGATATAGGTCAAACTCAGGGACCACAGCGTTGTTTTTTTGTGTAGCCATTTCCCTCGTTGCCAGGTTTTGAATTTTAATTTGATTTTGTGGAGGTGATGCTCTCATGACTCATTGAGTGAAGCCACATCAGCTCAGATCACTTGGAGCCCTGGCCGAATAGGTACTCCAAAAAAAGTACCAGGTACCAGGTATTACCACCTAATGAAAAACCCTAAAAACTGCCAAGTTAACAATGAGCAGGTACTAGTGGGAAAGGCCTCTTACTGTCGCATAAAGCTGAAACAGGTACAAATAAACACGCTATTTAAAGAATCAAAACCCTCAGATGTGAAAGAAGACTCAAGAGAAACAACAGGGAGACATGAACACTGTTGTTCTAGTGACCGCGATGGCTCAGAGCAGACAGGCTAAAGCTGTCTAAACACTGATAAACTCTAATAAAGGTTCTGCTTATCACAGCAGTCCTTCTACATCAGAAATTCAAAAACAATTAGTATTCAAACTGGGTCATGGCCTTGTGTCTTGTGGGTCTTTATATTGTAATCATGCTCACATGATGACATTTTTAGAATTACAAAAAGGAGACTAGTGTGGGCTTCAATAAAAGACCATCAAAACAAGTTGTGCAACTCTTTTCCAATAATGCATGCTCTATTAACCTTTTCCTGCTGTCTATCCTACAGCAGGCCGGGTGGATTTTGATGAGCTCCAGCTACACCGTAAGTTCAAGTATGCAACAGCTGTAGCTCAAGACATGAACCAACTATGCAGTGTATTTGCAAGATGAAAACCAATCTGTGCTGCAGGTCAAGTTAATGACAACTTGAAGACTGATGTTTTTAAAACCTGCTTTCTCACTTTGCCTCCTTCGGTGTCTGCCCTGCCTTTCTGTATCTCCTTTACTTTTGCTATAAATTCCTTTGTCACAGGGCATCAGGTCTACCAGGCGAGCCTCTCGCTACACACATTATTAGGAGCTTAGAGGCTTCACTCTCGCAACTCACAGCACATTACGCTCATCTGAAACACAGAAAGAGACTACTGTCCCTTTCTGTTGAAACAAAGCAATGATATACTAAACCTTTTAGCTGACCTGGCTTAAATTTCCAAAACAATCATGTTTTTCAAACTGAACAAAAAGGAGAGGATCTCAGAACTACGGTGTTTCTATAAAAAACTAAATCAGTATCTGAAAATTCAAAGTAAGAAGTTTTGGCTGCACAAATCTAACCTTTTAAAGACATAGTGCAGACTTAAACGTGCTTATGTGCTGCATAGTAAAAGATACCACTGTACTATGATGTCAATACTGACATTTCTACCTAAATTATAAAACATCCCCAGTGATGAGATTTTTAGCTCAACTCTTTGGGGCTACATTACATCATATATCAAACATATACAGGAGCTTACGCTATTTTTGCCCTGTGTTTGATTATGGCTCAGTGGTTCTGTGATTTCAGTGGAAGCTGAAGCACCACATTTTTTCCTTTCAAACCTGCATGTGGTTCTGCGGTATTGCAGATGGTACGATGGTTCACCATAAGAGTGAGACAGAGGAACAAGCCTTGGCTTTTGGCACTGCCAAGCCTTGAGTTAGAAAGTTGAAATGCTACGGCTCTCAGCTACCATGGGGCAGAAAATGCCATTTTATGTCCCCCTCCTAATCTGAGACATCCAGCCTAAGGCTCTCCTAAAAATGCCACCATTATAAAGTAAACTTCTGTCTTCATTTCAGCTTGGAAAAAATACTGGAGTGGTTTAAAAGGCAAATCAGTTCATGGTTTGGAGAAATAATTATGTAGAGAACCAAAAACATTACATTAGCAGACCTCTGGCCAGTATTTGTGAGAACAAGCTAAGAATAAACGATGCAACTTAAAGCTTTGATGTAAAACTCTCTGCCTGGTGTTTAAAGGATAAAGACTGTGTTGAACAGCCTTGCATTACCCTGCAATTACCAATTAACTGACTGACCCCAGCCATACACCTGGAAAACCTGCCACATAGTTAATCTGCTACTTGACCCCTTCAGTAATAACAGACACCTCTCTGACCTTGTGACCTTCCACATACATTACACAACTATATTCACACACTAATCTCCAACACTATACAGGCAAACCCAATCCTGCCCGCAAGTGAGATAAACACCAAAATTCTTCAGCTTCCATTATACCTGTTTGCTAATAAGTTAAGTTACCTTTAAATGTGTTTATCACTTATTTTACATACTGTAGTTGTCAAGTAATCATAGCAAAAGGTCCATTTCCAAAGAGCAGATGTGTAACATACCTTGAAGCATGCAGCGGTATGCTGATTCAGAGATGGCATAAATGTGCGGAGGCATCTCATGCCTCTTCTTCCCTCTGTACATCTCAATGATGTTCTCCGAATAGATGGGCAGGTTCTTGTAGGGGTTGATGACCACGCAGAAAAGCCCAGAGTATGTCTGTATTTAAAGATATGAAACAAACAAACATGGAGGTTAATATCAAAGAGTTCTCTAAGAACTAAAAGAACATATGATTAGGTCTGTTGTGGATGTTTCTCAAGTTTGCTCACAATGATCACATAAAGGCTTAATGGAACCATAAGTGGATACAAACAGGATGTGCAAAACATTAAGGTCTTTTAGATTGAAAGGAGCATGTACATTTCTGGTTTTATAAATCATCTAGCTTGCATTTTATCAGTGCAGGAAGACTTGTCATTACCCACATTTTGGTAGCTTACATCATCATAGCTGGCATGCAAGACAGTGATAGACGCAGAGCAGAGCAGAGCAGATCTGAGGGAATGCTGATAAATGAAACACTGAGCAGACACTTGTCTGTGTGCAATACCCAGAGAGCCTTTTTAATCCAAAACAGCACCGCATTAATATGAATAATGAGTTTATGGAATATTATAAAGACTCATGTTAGAGCAAACAGTGTGCACTGCAAATGTTTAGCCTACTTTCTGACTTGCGGTGTTGCATTTGGCTATGCCATTAGCTTGACAATGTCTCCCTAGAGAGTGTGTGCGGTACGAAGGCTTCTGAGCTATGCTGTAGGCTGAATCTGACTCAACCAGAGAGCAAGGCAGACGGCGTGAGGGGCCCTGGTGGGGCAGTGGCTCTTTCTGCAGATGCTATAGGGGCTTCACATTTCCCCTATGGATGACACAGAGAAAAGGCTGCTTCACGGTAGTATGGCCTTCACACTGACATGCTAGGCTTATTCCAGGAGCCCACACAAATCTCCATTGTATTTACAGAATATAAAGTACAGCTATAGTGACTGAACCTTAAGAAAGTAATAATAACGCATACCTTGAGTTATGCCTCTTTCAGTGAGTTAATACCTCATATATAACTAAAAAAATTAGAGCCAGATGTTGAACAAACGATAGATGGATATTATAAATCTGTGAGGCCGAGACGGCTAAACACCCTGGGCACCAGAGTCGGGCACCTCTCTGCTAGCTACTTGGAGTTACAGATATGTTTGTGCAGTGTTACTTAACACTACTTACAAAAACATGAACATAATTCCAGAGGTGCATATCTCCACCAATGATAAAAATTCACTTGAGACCATGCTTGAATTAAGCTCATGGGTTCCAGAGGGATATCAGAGTCTGGATGAGTCTGCTCCATTTTCTTGAGAACATCAGAACAATCCTCATTTCATTTTTATTTCAACTTGATGTGGTTTTGTGAAAAACATTACACAAAATGCCCAATCGTGCACTCTCTTAAGTGTTGACGATCCAGATTCAATCTGGATCAATTCCAAGAGTTAATAACTTCTATTTTGGGCCCAACTTCACTTCTGGTTAAATTTTCAAGCAGTTGCCTTTTGAGTAATCCTGCAAAAAAAAAAAAAAAAAAGGCAACAAACCAATCACTAAAACCTCTCGAGCAGAGGAGAAGTCCGGAAATATAAATCTGATCTATGAAACTGAAATAATTTTGACGATCAGGTTCCTCTTTTGACTGTCAACATGACAAATGCAGTTCAGAAATAAATAAATTTAAAAGGCAAATGCTCCATGAACTGTTGTCCATAATAAGAGCCTTTGTTTTGAAGAGCCGTAAATATTTAAAAAGCTATTTATTCTATCGCTTCCTCAGCCATTAATATAGTACAACTAGTAAACAAAGCTACAATATTTGGAAAAGCAATCTCCTTCTGGGATCTTTTTGTATCAAAGCATCACACATCATGACACCTGCTTCATTATTAACGCTGCACCTAAGGCTGAGTACAGCACTGGGACTTCTACCTGAGTGACTCAGCAGACGATCACAAAGGACCCGGAGAGCACACAGCGTACTGTAGCTGTTACGTAACAGCTCAGTCAGGGGCCTAAGTCAGCACTGAGCAACTGATGCTGTGCTGCTGATACAGAAGAAAGAAGGCGATGAAGTAGAGAGAGGCAGACGAGGATGAAGAGCAGAGCAATGATCCAGCTGACGGAGCTCCCTGTGGTCCAATCCAATGGAGAAGCAGAGGCGTAAAAAAACACCTAACCATGCTCTCATCCTTTCTGTAAATTGCTCCCTACATGAGGGGGAGAGAGCTGCTGAAACTCTAACTCTCCACTCTCCTTTTCGAAGGCTAATGAAAATTTAATTCCCCCGTATCTGAAAACTGGAGCCACTATAAATGGAGAGTCTGTTCTGTTTCCATGGTTTAGTTCTGCAGCATTTAGTGCAAAAGCAGCTGGTGTGGCTGCAGAGAGATACCTGGACTTGAAGTTTGCTGTATCACATTCTATGTTCATGTTTTATTTGGTTAAAACTGCACAGAGCAGACCTGCCCTTATCTATAGATTTCTTGTTCATTTTGAGGGTCAAGTAAAATGTCTTTTGTCATAAAACACTATTTTCAGCTCCTCTCTTATTCATAATGGTTTGTCACAGTGAAAAAAAAATATGATGCCAGAATATTAAGTGGTTATTATTCCTCAAACATATGCAAATATGAGAAAAATAAAATAAGGATATTCTTATTGTGAAATATCCTGCAGGATAAATCCAGTACGAAGACCATTAACAACTGCTATTGCCAACTAGCAGAGGACACAGCTAACTTAACACCGCCTGACAAGAAGCCATGCCTGGCCCAGTCCAGGAAAGAGAAGGTGATATTTCCACTGTGAAATCAGATCCAGGGGAGGGGATGCCGTGGCCTAGTAACAGCTGAGCAACACATAGCCAACAGCAGACACAACAGCCGACCCCATCTGCCACCTCTGATCAGTCAGACAGCAGGCCTACGTTGACGGTACTTTCTCCACTCCAAAAGCCGTTAAGGGCACTCTGAGTGCAGAGCCTTGCTCGGCGCCACTAATCTGTGTGGACTACAGTAGACTTTGACCAGTTCCCCAACGGGGCTCTGCTTCACTGATTTCATAGCAAAGCTAATAAATACTTCAGACTTGGCTTTTGAAGTAAAACACTGGTATGTGTGGTATCCAATCAGTTTAACAGCAGCAGCAGAACAATCAAATGTATAAGCTTTAAGGCAGTGGAGCCCATTATATAAAACATACTATATGCTATCAAAAAAGCTGTATGAATCTACGGCATTACATCCACCACACATTTTATTTCTGTAGAAATCTAAGAGGCAAAATGAAGAACAATCATAGCACAGCAACAGGTTACATCAAAGTTATAAGGATGAGCCTGGCCATGCAGGTTTTCTTCTCTTTCTTAGGTTGCGCCTGCTCTAGACCTGCAGGCAGATCCACTATTACAATGTAATCATTCTGAGCAGGGCCATAGTGTAGGAACTACGCAAATATTTGAAATCAATAAGAAAGAAATGGATTGTGGGCCAATACTGATGTTTAAAGTAAGAGTTTTCGTACACATTTTTAGTGCAAAACTGCGATACATGAAGTTGATGATCGGTCAACAGAGTGAATATCAGCTGATACTTATAGAAAACCAATGCATGCCATAAAACAAAGAAAGAAAGAAAATCTATGTCATTATTCTCCAGGACAAGTACGTCAGAGCGGAGAGGCAGAGTGAGTGTGGGAAAAGGAACTGAGTTGATGAAGATAGGACAGACACTGAGCAGCAGAAGAGCTGAAGTAGGCGGCAGGAGACAGACAGACGGATGGTCTTTTTGCCGTGGAAGAATGCTGAGGCTTTCTGACAGCTGAGGCTTATCTAACAACACAAAGGCTTGCTTGTAGCCCAGCTAGTGAGTAGCATGGTGGCTAGCCTGTGACTCACCACCGTACAGATAGAAAGGTGCCAAATTTAGTGAGCCAGCTTGACAGGCGGCCTGACTTTACACGAAACAAGCCGTCAGCTCTACAAAGGGCCATACAAAAGAGGCTGTACAGGATAGAAAAATCACACAGAAACTAGGATTTCACTGACCAGTAACAGATGTGTGATTGTAATTAACAGTAAAGATACACACTGGAAAATTACTGGACGCCCACAGTTGACTTTTCTGCATGTTTCGGCAACAATATATAAGATTTGTTTTCTTCACAGTAACCTTAACATACAGAAGGTGCATTACTGACCTACTGACTCATCTAGCTCAGCAGGAGCTCAGTCTACTCCACTTAACTTGAATTTTCAAAGCTTACACAATTGAAAATGAAATAATATAACATCACAAGGGACACCAGTGTGAGGCATTCTCTCAAAGCAATACAGTTTATAATAGGGGTGCAACAGTACTCGTATCAATATTGAACCGTTCGAAACAGTGCTTTCGGTTCGGTACGCATATGTATCGAACAATACAAAATTTTTAATTTATTTTATCAACTTTTCTACTGACGATGCTGTCTGTGTTGAGCGCTCAGTGGATTTGCGCTCGACAGTGCAGCCTAGGCGGAGTAGTCGAACGCAGATTCACTGAGCGCAGGGCAAGCTAGCAAGACAGAAGTTAAGCTCTCGTTGCAACATGGCAAATTGAGCTCCCCCACCCTCATTCAGATCTGGCCTTTGGAACTATTTTGGTTTTCATGTAACATATGACCCTGAAGGTAAGGGTGTCATGGACAAAAGTAAAACAGTATGTTGGATGTGCCACGCAATGCTCAATTACATTGGTGGGAACTAGTGCGTTAGCGCAGTTTGCTCGTTAACGTGTTGACGCCGTCCAGCCCCAAGCACGGGGCGATCCGCGGTAACTCGTTAACCGAGATTTGCCGTGTTGTGGCGTTAACGTCATTTCAACGGGATTAACGCTGACAGCACTAGTGGGAACACAACCAATATGACTGCACATTTACTCCGACATCATCCTAGTGCAAAGACAAGTGGAAGCAGACAAAAACAACAAGCAGGCATGCTACTAACTTTACCCGAGTCATTTAGACAGCCGTTAGCACATGATTCTCCTTATGGGGACCTGATATGTTTAATATGCTGCTGAGAATATAGCCCAGAAGAAGCGTATAGTATAGCTTTTATTTTGGAAAGAGCCATTTCTCTGTAATAAACTCTCTTTTTCAAAGATGAGTGATTTCAAAACTGTACTTTTGAGTTAAAATATATATTTATAATTTTAATAAATCACATTAAATAGGCATGAACATTTTTTTTTGTATCGAAAAAATATCGAACCGTGACACCAAAGTATCGAACCGAACCGTGAATTTTGTGTATCGTTGCACCCCTAGTTTCTAAGTACCTGATACATAAAGACATGGTACAGTAAGTCATGTACTGTATAAACATACACAACAACCTGCATTGTCTGCTAGAATGTGGATTGTGATGTTGGGGATTATCAACATAGGTCTTCTAAGTACAGGTAGCCCAAACTACAGAGTCCCTTTAATATTAGGTTATTGAAAACAGTAATTGTGTCCTAAAGGCAAACCTATGAAAATATTTTACAGGTTTAGAAAAACAGTTAGTACAGACCTCAACTTGTAAAAGACTTGCAGAATCATATTATGACTCAGATACAGAGGTCTTTCCAATTATCTCAATTCAAAGCACAGCCTTGGGGTAGGCATTATATTATGTCTGCAGTAGATATATCAGAGCTCTGGGGGGTAAGTCAAACACACTGGAAAGAAGTTTCAAGCACAGGGGGTTTCTTTTTCTAACAGTGAGCTAAACAGGAGAAAATTCTCTTCCTTTTAGAAAACCAACACAGTCAGACATATGTTTTCAATTTCTCTTAGGCAAGGGGACAATTAACAAGCACCAAAGCCAATTCTGAACCCAGAAAAAAACTGAAACCATGACACCATGGTATTAGGAAGAAACTGAAGAGGGAGCTGGTGGAATGACATGGAAATTCAAGCCATATGGGAAATTGCTGAAATGCTTTCTTCCATTTTGGTAGCGGCAAATTATAATAATACTTTTAAGCATTTGACGATTGCAATGTGTTGCTGCATTCACTTTATCACGTCTTGTTGGATGAAAGGCTCATTTATAAGTGCAACGAGTCACCCAGCAGCGCCCGAACCACAGTCTCTCAGGTAAAAACTAACCCACATTCTATTCCTGGTAAACATGTCACTAAATGGGTCAAGATCGCGTCACAGAGCTGCTTCATCTGTGGTGAAACTGGATTATGGGGACAGAAGCGATGCAGTGATAGAGACCACTCCAGACTCTGCGTAAAAATTCACTACTACAAAACATTTAGAGATACAGACACCAGAGATTTTCCTGACTGGTCTACATGTGTAATATATTTAAAAAATGGCCATGTGGATGAGAAAAACTGAACTGATAGGGTTGTTTTGTGATCTGAGAAACAGCTTAAATAAAGGAATGTGGGGGTTAGGGTGACACCAGGAAGGTTTATGGCAAAGGTCTGTCTTTAGCCAAGGTGAGAGAGAAGTTATGGCATTTAAGACCATAGAGCTCTGTCAGTCATTCTGTGTGCAAATATGTGAGTGTGTTTGTGTGGTCATGAGTCACTCAGATGAGCTGCTTTTTTCCCTAAACAAAGATGGATAAATATCAGATCTCACTTTTAACCAAGACTGTAAGACAGGTGACTAAACACGAAACAACTGCCTGCAATGAGCAGAACAGCCAGAGAAATAATTTTGAGGTCAACCATCCACCAGTGTGTTGAGTTTACAGTAAACTGTTAGAAAAAAAAGAACCTTTTGAAGGCTCCAGGTCTAAGTCACTCACATATATGAGTCCAGAGTAGTAGCGGTCCTTCAGGTTGTGCAGCACAGACGCCTCATTCAGGCAGGTGAGTTCAGCCATGTCTTCCACCTTGCTAAATTTGGGTGGGTTCATCTTCTGGATGTCATCCTTGTTGATCACCACCTTTTTACCATTCTCTGCCAACTCCACTAGCACTTCCTCGCCACGCTCTTCTCGGATACCCGCCGCCTCAAAGCCATGGCGCTCGGAGGGGACCCACACTAGCTTCTTGGCCGTCCAGTCAGCCTGTGTGGCTGGGTTGTAAACCACAGCCCGGTCCACAAACAGGTAGCGCTCTGGGTCCTCTTGCCCACTCCGATGAGACATTTTAACTGGGAATGATCACCACAATATGGCCACCTAGAAGAAAAGGGGGTGCAGCGATAAGTAGCAAAACGTGAAATTTAGTCAAATTTTACATCTCACCCTATGTGATCAACAGGAGTGTGTGTGTGTGTTTGATCGCAATGGGATTGCACTGGTCACTTCATAGGAAGTAGCCTTTCTGCAAACAGCTGCACTCTGACTGTAGTCACTCTCAGAGTGAGTGATTGAGGCTTGCAGATAACTAGCTAATTTATAAATACAGACGGATTGCCAACATGCTGCCATCAGTCTGAATGAGTCATTCTCAGCGAGCACAACTCAAAGGTACTCCACACAACTGGCTGCCAGCTGGTTATATTCTAGTTATATTCCTATAAAACAGGAACACTGCTTAGTGCAACAGTTTCTGTTACATTTCTGTTAAATGTGAATTTCTGTCTATGTAGACAGCAACGGTGATGTTTGAAGATATATTACAATTAACTGGTGTATTATCAGAAAAGGACTGCATGTAGATGCCAATTTCACCCCATTCAATAGCAGACTGAATCTGTCGTATGTTAGGTTTTAGTGAATAAATGAATAAATAAATAACTGAAGTGAGATAAAAACTTCAACTTTGAGGGCATGATTTGCAGTTGAAAGAATGTGATATATACTACTGCAATTCTCAGCAGATGGCAAAGTAGTTCTGTTAAAATAACATCGCATTATGAACTTAGTGTCTGGTGATTCCCACTTGTAGTCATCACTATAGATCCAATAATGGCAGAAACGTCCAGTGACACTAATACTTATGAATTTAGTAGAATTCACTGATCATTATAAATCACATAGATATGCATGAATTTAAGTATGTCTCTTGATTCATAGCTGGTATAATAAAGTAATACAGTGAAGAAGGGAACTCATATGTCAGACAATCAAATAAAAGTTGCGAGTCAGACTTCAGTGTAGGTTTGGCAGCCTGGCACTGCACAACAATAATGCGCGTACTGCGGAGACTACACCGCTCTGCCAGAAAACCAAACGGGACAGATGGACGACGTACTGTGAGTGTCACATACAATAAGTCGCTCTCGTTCTCCAGGGAGCTCGCTGTATACAAAATAACCCGAATTTTAACACCTATCCAGGTAGCTCTGGAAACTATAAACGCCTGAAACATGCAGCTGAAGTCGCCCTTCCAAATATTAGGCTAATAACTGCGTAATAAACCTGCGCAACTGACGGAGCTAGCTACATAAGTGGGTAACGGGAATAAGTCACGACACGGTTAATTTAAAAGAACGAGTAACAGCAGCTAAAAGTTATTGTCTGGAGAACAACCATTAGGATAAACAAAAATAAGGTTACTGTCGGAGAAAATTTTTGTCATGAGCCAAAAGAAAGTAGAGTCATAAAGCTAGCTTACCACAGTCTGCACTTTTTCTGTTACGTATTAAGAGTTCAGGTGTTACCAATTAACACGTTTCTATGGTGAGAGAAAAAAGAGAGAGAAAGAGTCCTCGAGGTCAACCAGAGCGCTTATGACGCCGAGCGGTGGATTTTGAACCCCGCTACTCAAATAAAGACTACAGCCAAAGTAAGTTTCCAGAGCGACCTCCATCCCCTATCCCGGAGGCTGCTCACTCACTGACGCCGTAATAATCACCACGCGCCCCATCGTTCTTCGCCCTCGCGGCTGGCGCGAGCAAACTTACCTGCAGCAGTCAGAACCTGTTCACAAAGCTCCCCCTGATTCGACCCTGAACGCAACTATACAGCTGCTAGCCACAAGTGAAATGCAGGCATGTATCTGGGCTTCGGTATGCACCACAGTGCACAGTGCTGCCTCCACACTGGGGCCCCTCCTAAAGAGAGCAGGCTTGACCACCGCTGCTCCCGCCTACGGTGGACTGTGCGCACTAGAAAGTGATCGCGCAGATCAATACGCCACACTGTCGCACTCTTGTCAGGATTCAGCCGCTAATAAATTTTTATGTGCGTGCCTTCACGCCTGTCAGAATCTCTTCAATGGCATTAATGAAGGCAGCAATAATGAATACACTGTCGGGCATTATGCTGCGGTGGATACCTTTTAAGATCTATCCCACAAATATCTAGGCACTGCACACCCACTACATGCAGCCTAGAAGCGATTGGGCTCTCGCTTTGCGGTCTTTCTCTGCCCTTCTCCACTATTGGCTGGAACAAACCAACCCCCCAATTTGCTGCAAACCACTGACAAGCATAAAAAACCCCAAAACATAATAACTATTGCAACTGCTGCTTGCATGCATTATAAAAACGCCTCAATTTGCCACGCATTGTTATTGTTGTCTAATACCTCACATGTTTTCTAAACAAAAAAGCTAGAAAACAAGAAGGGTTAAGTACTTCTTAATAAAACATAATGTGGCTTTTGACTGAAACAGCTCCCTCTTGTGTCTGAAAGCAACATCAGCAGCAGCACCAGCTCACACAATCGTGCGACTTCTTGAGTTTTATTACAAATGGAAACATGTCACCAGGGGCGAGAAAAACATGTGTTTTCTGTAATTAAATAGTCATTCACTTTACTAAGGAAGCAGTGGAAAACGTGTCATAAGAATGAAGGTTTCAAAAGACGGTAAAGGCGTTGTATGTCATAGTTCTGTACAGTCTGTTAATGTTGGGGCTCTTCAGCGTCCGCCCCTCCAGGCTCCTCCGCCACGCTTCTTCCCTCCTCCTCCTCCTGCTCCTCCTCCTCCTTTAACCTTCTTCCTCACGCCGGTCGCCTGTTCCGTGTCATCATCGTCTCCGTCCCCTCTTTTTGGCCTTTTCCTTTTGTCGCCTTGCTCCTTCATTTCCTGGGGAACACAAACGTTTTCTTAATGTTCATGTACACTAATAGCTGACTATATTCTATATACAGGCATTTTAGGTCAAGACAGAACAAGTTTAATTTTAAAAAAAATCAAACATTTCTAAATATGTATTTTTGAAGAAATTAGCCAAGGTTTAGCCAAGTTTCAAACATTTGTTCGTAACTTTTAGTTTATGCTTGCAGTCATTGCTCTTTTAAATATATGGTTACATTTAAATCATTACACTCCCCAACAACTTAAACACCTACACCTGCCTGTTAATGCAAATATCCAGTGTGGTCAGTTCTCTGGTCATCTGCTTCGAAACTTGAAGCAGATGACCTGCGGCAGCAGAAGACCACACAGAGTGCTGCTCCTGTCAGCTAAAAACAAGGAACTGAGGCTAGAAGCTGCATGGTCTCATGAAACAGAAGGACAACAGAAGATTGGAAAAATGTTGCCTTGTGTGATGAGTGTTGATTTCTGCTGCCACAACTGGATAGGATGGTAACAGTTGGCATAAACGACATTTTATCAACAGCTCAGGTTGCTGGTGGTGTAATGGTTTTGGGGATATTTTTCCAGCACACTTTGGGATCCTTAGCACCAACTGTTTACTGTTCATACACCACAGCCTGTCTGATCATGTCCATCTGTTTATGACCACGCTGTATCCATCTTCTGATGGCTGATTTCAAGAGGATAACACACTGTGTCACAAAGCTCAAATCACCTCATGTAGAAACAGACGGGTTTATGCACCATTGTTTTCACACAGCATGTTTTTTTCTTCTTCAAATTTTAGGCTATACCTGACAAATACAGAGAAAAGACACAATAAAGACAGGATGACTTACTATTTTGGCAAATCTCTGGGCCTCGCTCACCCTCTCCACCAGCATCATCACTTCCTCCTCTTGGGTTGGAAAGGCTGGAAGTTTCTTCCCAATCAAGCTTTCAATTCGCTGGAAAAGCTCCACATCATACCTATGGTTATATGGACACCAGACACATTTACTTGCTGCAGTGACCTTCCTCTCCAAACCACAGTATTGCACAACTTACTCAACCATGTCAAAATGGTATAAAAATGGCAATAAGTGGAAACAAAGCAGAGATGTTATTGTATATGGAATGACTGGTGACGATAAAAAGGCCCTTCTTACTGAGTGACGAAAGTGATGGATTTTCCAGATCGTCCTGCTCTGGCTGTTCGGCCAACCCTGTGAATATAGTCCTGTAGGATCAAACACATCCACAGATCAGCTCATCGGTGAAGTGAAATAAATCATCAAACGCACCACCAACATGATTATCAGCGCCTCGGTACCTTAGAGTGAGTGGGAATGTCATAGTTGATGACGCAGTCGACATGAGGAATATCCAGTCCTCTGGATGCCACGTCAGTCGCCAGCAGCACCGACCGAGACTTGGACTTGAACTTGTTCAGAGCTCCAAGACGTTTATTCTGCACGGCGAAGGAAGGAAGATCCAGATCACATCACAGTATCCACCAGAAAGAAAAAGGGAAAACTTTCACTTCCTTAAAAACTCCATTTGATAAATGTCTGTGTGCATATTTACACACAACTCATATCATACATTAGGTCACATTTGCTGTAATGCCACAAAACCAGAAAGAGGGCTGACATCCAGCCAAACGGGACCAAAGCTGGTCAACATTCACTTTCATTCATGAGTGAAAGAAATTTTTCTTGGTCTACAAAAACAGCATCTTAGATGGTGCAAAGAGCTCTATTCAAACATTTAAGTGAACTGCAGCCTGATTTGAATGTAGATTTGATTGTAGACTGCTTATGGTAAACTGCAGACCATGACAATGACTTCCAGATGTTTCCAAATGGTACAAAAAGTACACTAACTTGCATGTAAAGTTAATTAAGCATGACTTTAGCATGTGTTGCAAGTGTGATCATAAACCAAACTGTTTACAGGGTTTTATAGTATGCGTAGGTAATGCTGACAGAGCAGCAGGCACTATAATGAATGCTAACATCTCAGGTTAAATCCTTATACTCAACCGAGTCTCTGAAGCTTTACCTGACTCATCTGCCCATGTAGAGGGATAGCAGTGATGCCGAGGTTCCTTAACAACAGCGCCACCCGCTGGGCTGTGTTACATGTGCTGCAGAAAATAATAAAGGAGTTCCCGGCCAGCTCATTCAGGATGGAAACCAGGTAGCAGTCCTGTTGGCAAAACCAAGAGCTAAACTTACTGAATATAAAACAGCTTCAGCAAGTCACAAACACAACTGTCAGCACATGGTCAGCACATGTACACGTGTGCACCCTACCTTGTACTTAGATGGTATAAAGATGTAGTACTGCTGCAGTTTGTCTACTGTGGAGTATTTCGTAGACACCGCGCACTTCACAGGATCTTTCAAAGCTGCTCTCTCTAGTTTCTGGACCTGTAAACATATGACAGAAGGTCAGGCAAAGGCTACTCTGGCAGCTGCTTATTACTGTCCCCCATAATGTGCAGGACAAGGACGGCTAAAAGAAACGCGACTAACATTCTCCGTCATCTAGAGTTGACAAAGAGGGAAGAACACAAAGATACCTTTTTGGTCATGGTAGCCGAGAACAAGAAAGTGCGTCTTTCTCTTGGGATCACCTTCAAGATTTTATCCACCTGGTAAAAAAAATAAAATAAATAATAGATATAAAAACGACAGTCTACATGGGCTACATGCTTCTTGAAATTTGTACAGGTTAAATTCTTGAAAACCTTCTCTGTTTATAGGCAAAGAGCTTCACAAATGGACACGTCACAGACGCAAATCTAGCCTGAGGCGTTGGAGGTGTGGAGCCCGTAGCCAGCAGGTTTTTAATTTAAAGCTTAGCCTATCGGCTATTTGTAATCTTTCAAAATGCTCCACTGTCAACCAAAAAAATATACGTCAACTCGGGTTTTTACCAGCTTACGGCTAGTAATGCGAAGTTTAGGTAAATTTCACTTTTTGGATTTAAACTGCCATAAAGGTTGTCACATTCACTTTAAAATGCTTTCATCAATAACCTTTGAGCCTGCCATTTAACAGCACACTGAGGAGGATGTGGCTGAGGTGCTACAGTGAGTCTCCTACCAATAGGAAGCTACTGACCTCAGTTTCGAAGTCCATGTTGAGGATTCTGTCTGCTTCATCCATGACCAGGAACTTCAGCGCTCGTAGAGAGAAGCCCTTTGTGTTCTCGAGGTGATCGATCAAACGACCGGGCGTGGCTGGAAAAAACAAAACGATTTTTTTACTTAAAAGTGTATCATCAAAATCAGTTTATAAAGGGTACAAACATTACAACAGTGGGTGAACATAAGCAGACGTGTGAAGTGTGAAAAATATGCAACGTTCTTAAAGGTAAAGTCTTACCAATAACGATGTGCGGCTTTTTCGCTAACACCAGGGACTGGGACATCATATCGATTCCACCGACTATCACGGCTGCAACGGAAGACAGACGGATTTAGAGCACAGAGCCTCCCGCACTACTGCAAGCCGCCTCACCTTTCAAGGACACGTACCGCACTTAACGCCGATACTGGAGCCCAGGGCCTCAAACTGCTCAGAGATCTGAAATGCCAACTCTCTAGTGGGGGTGAGAACAAGTGTGTGAAGCCTCTGGGGGGAGGCCAGCAGCGACTGGAGGATAGGCAGAGCGAAGGCACCGGTCTTTCCTGAACCAGTCTCCGCCAGGCCAATAACATCCTTCCCTGCAGGTCACAAGGAGACAAGAAATGTTACGCACTTTAACCTTTAGAGATTTAAACAAGTCCTGAGATTCAGACTGAAGCGCTGCTCCTTTAGCTTCAGTCCATGTTAAATCATAATGATTCACAGAGAAATATGGAGAAGTTTCATATGTTACACGTACAGATATGAGGTGTGTAATCGCGGTATGAATTTGAGCACAAACTGATTTCCAATCCTCTGCTGAGATTTCAGATTTCAAATCCCTGGGCCATGCATTTAGCCCATCATCTCTGATTAACAGGATATTTGCTGTCATTGTTACTTCAACTTGTTTTTTTGATGGTCTAGTACAATGATGCACAAATGGTGGCTATGCTAATGCCAAAACAAAGCTGAAAAGTAGCCATACACAAACATATAAAAACAAGTTCATTAATATTTGAACATTCAGGGGCTGGTAGTGTCGGAGTAAATCTGCCTCTTTTAATAATTCAATTTACTCATGTCCTTTCTTCACTTTGTATAATAAACATTTGTCCCAGTCTTGTAGAAAGTTTTCTTCTTTCTTTTTCTGTCTGTATGTGAGTTTGTCCATCACAAGGATCTCCTCAACAACAACCACCCATTGTCTACAGCTCATTGTTTAAAACCTTAGGGGACTTAAACAGCATGGACGCAAATGGCCTCTAAGATGATCCACGTAGAGGATCTGAAACAATCGTTGGAATTACATAACTAAATATTTTATTCCAGAAGGGTTGTATTTTTCCTGATGTCCAAAAATGTGCGTATGGTGTGATCATATACTGTTACTTGAGTAAAACTGACAGAAAGAGGTAAGCGTGATTTCTCACCTTGCAGAGCCACCGGTATAGCTTCTATCTGGATCTTCGTGGGGCTCTTCCATCCCAGCTGATCACAAGCCTCGCATAGGACATCAGTAACACCCTGTCGGAAGCAGACAAAAGGTAGAAATCTTTGTAACACGATCGTAATTGTGTACTAGCGCCGTATATGTCTCACAGACATATCCCATTCATATTTAAAAGGATAAAATGAGGTTTACATAACACAGCGGAGTTGTAGCTAACTCGAACAGCAGTGGTCTCTCCGTGTTAATGTGCCTGACGCTTTTCCTTCGCTCGCTGAAGCAAACCTACCAGATCCTTGAAGCTCTTCACCGTCTCGTCGTTTTCTCCGCCATCACCGTGATCGCTTCCTTCATCGCTGCTCGAAATTTCGAGTGTTTCGTCTGTGTTTGGCTTCACGCTCTCCTCGTCCGCCATGCTATTCGCCCCAACGTGTCGTCAGTTCCGCACTGCGCAGATGCGGAAACGAGTTCGAGCTTAAGCCGCAGTGGATGATGGAAGTTTGTGTTTACGACCGAAAACGCATAAAAATACGACATGGGAATTTCTGTCGCGGATTGATTCACACTGAAACAAGATTAAACCAGTTTTTTGAGTTTTTATTTGGCTGAAGATCAAACAGTTTTACACTTTTACTGTTGTCAGTGGTTGGAAAACATTCTATAACTATTTTTATGTTAGGAGATCTGCAATAAAAAAAACAGAAAAAAGTAATACAAGATTGCTTCTAAGGTCAAGTTGCAAACAGGTGGTTGGAGGAAAAACAATTTCAGAGTTAAAAAACAAGACAAAAAAACAAAACAATATGCTGGATGTGAAAAAGCACTTCTGTGCAGAGCATAGTGTTCTTCTCTTGAATTGACTATGCAAGTTACCCAGTAAAATAAACAGATTTCTTACTCTTTTTGAAATGCACATTCTTGTTGATGCAACAAAAATCTAACCCAGATCAAATGAATATGAGCCTGTAGAGAACAAAGCTGAGGGTGTAGTGGACTTTCACTGGTAGGTGACAGACAAACTGATTCTAGCTGAAAGTTTGAAGACGGCTACCTCTATAACTCTGCACAGAAAACACAAAACAAACACACTGCTGTTGTTCAGCTTGCCACACTGATCATCATTATCGGCAGTACGCTCCCGAGTCTTAGAGGAGTCCCTCCATCTCCCTCATAAAGGCTTCATACACCTGGTCTTTAGTCTTCATGTTGGGCTGAGACACAGCACCCATCTGTGATGGATTGGCCACGCCCATAGGAGCTGTTGCAGTGTGCTGTTTCTGCCACTGGCCTCCTCCCACACCTTCATCTCCCCTCCTTCCTCCAACAGAACCCCCTGCTTTCTCCATGGGCCCAGGTGCTGCTCCTGGCATTGTTCCAACCTTGTCCCTACGCACCCTCAGCGCTGTGGGCACAAAGCGGGTCACCTCTGCCTTGGGATTGATAATTTGAGGTTTGGCAGAGATGGTAGCCCCGCCTGCACCGGCACCTGCTGCCAGGTTGCCTCCTGCAGCTGCAACAGAGGTGATGTTTGCGCGTTTTTCGATGGTGGGAGGGTGGTGATGGCTGGGGGGATTGCTGCCCGGATTGGTGCCTGTGGAGGCAGCAGCTGTCCCAGGCGGAGGGGGCATCTGCATGACACCAGGTCGCATGGGCATGGCAGGGGGTTGCAGGTTGGTCTGTAAACCGTCCTGGCTGGATCCTGAGCCTTTTTGTCGCTGAACAATGTTTGGAGGAGCACTCAGCACATTGGAATTGAGAGGTGGAGGGAAGAGAGACAGAGGTGGTGCAAGAGGACGCGGAGGCCCTCCAGCTCTTGGGGGAGGAGGCGGGATACCTACAAGGAGAAAAAAACATAAATGAGAAATGCATTCAACAGAAGTTCTCACTATTTTATATCTTTAGATTGCCTCCACACACATGTGCCTACCTGGTGGTGCTGGGGGTGGTAATCTGGGAGGTGGACCACGTGGTGGAGGGCCTGGTGGAAGGCCAGGAGGGGGGCCTGGTGGAGGACCAGGTGGTCGACCTGGTGGAGGCCCAGGAGGCAGAAGCCGAGGCATTGGAGCCCTCATTCCTGCAGGCATGCCAGGAGGCCTCAAGAACGGAGGAGCACCTGAAGATAACAGAAGATCTCTTTGAAAAAATGATGCAGAGCACTCACACTTAGAGAAGTAGAAGACCCCCACAGAACAGGCACAGGAAATTATTCTAGTATGACTTCAGAGTCGAAGCAATCAATCTTTTAGCTAATCAGAATGAGAACCTGGTGGGGGGCCAGGAGGTGGGCCAGATGGTGGACCAGGAGGCCTCATTGGTGGTGCCGGAGGTGGACCAAGTAGTGGAGGTCCTGTCATCGGTGGCCCTTGCATGTGTGGAGGCCCTTGCTGTCCCGTGGTCCCAGCTGGAGGGGGTAGTCGCTGATTGGCCATGAGATGGGACTGGTTGTCCCCTGGAGGGCCTCTGTCCTCGATGTCAGAGCTGTCTGATTCGTCTGTGTATTCTTCCTCTACCTCTTCTTCTTCCTCCTCGTCAGGAACTGACTGACCTGAACACAAAAAATGAACAAATAAAAATGGCATAGCATATCATCATACAAAGAAAAGAAACTGTGAGGAGCACTAGCTTAGTAAGTGCTTAGCACTAAGAGTACCTGCCATCCTTAACATCATGGCTTGCAGAGGTGTAATGGCCTTTGTCTTCTTCACAACCCTCTTCTTCTTCCTTTTTCCTTCACGGGGTGCCTCTGCAGGCATATCTGCAAAACGTACGCTACGACCTGCAGTAGTCAAATAATAACAAATTCAGGAATACAACAGAATACAAACAGTTATAAGATCAAGAGATAAATAAAGGCAACAAAGACGTGAGTTGAGGCTTAAATGTGTTGAAGCAGTCAGAAACACTCACCACCATGTCTTTCACTTCTGTCTCTATCTTCTTCTCGTTCTCTCTCATCGTCCTGCCTGTCCAAGCGCATTCTCTGTTCGCCATCTCCCCCTTCATCTCTCTCTTCTTCACTGATGTCTTCAGAGTCGCTGTCGTCATCAATATCGTCCTGATCTCTGTCGCTCTCACTCCCGCTGTCCCGATCTCTCCCCAAATCCATTGCAGAGTCCTTTTCAAATCCAGGAATGGAAGGCTCTGTTCAAAGGAGAAATAGTGTAACAAGAAGAAATGTTAAATTATAGGTGGAAAAAAATCATTTGATTATCAGAGGGAAACTGGCTGTATCTCACCTGCATCTGTGCCGTAACCGCGTCGAGCAGGTCCATACAGTGCCAGGACCTGAGGAGGTGGGGGGCCAGGTGGAGGCCCAGGGGGCTTCTTCCCTGGAGGTAAGCGTGGGACACCTGGCACTGTTGCCAATGCTGGTCCGGAGGACGATGGTCCTTTACTAAGACATGCATAAAAACAGAATTAACTCAACTGCCCATTAAAATTCTAAAATGTCACATGCGGAGTTTAACTGCTGAAACTTTTACTACTCATTGAATGAGTCTTACCCAAAAGTGGAGCTCTTCTTCAATATGGAGGGAGGCTGAGCCCCTGGTAGTGGGATGTCCTGGATGTGGATACTGGATGGGGCATGTGGCATGTCTGGTAGAGGGATACTGTCAACCTCCACCAACTCTGCATTCTGAAAAAGAGGAAACATCACACAACAGAGTAAACAGAGAGCACAACAAAGGATAAATAAGGTAATGGAGCACACATCTGGAGCAATCAAGCTCAAGACAAATAAAAGACGAGTAATGGGTTTTGGTGTATGCCCCAAAATATTCATAATCCTGACTTTTAAGATTTTTTTTGCAGCCCAACAAGGCGTACACAAGCCTGTAGGACAATGTGCATACAATATACCTCTCATTCCTGCATCAATTTATGCAAGAATTATTATAAACTGAGGAACCCCACCCCCCAAAACTGTCATGTAGTTTCCAACACACCTTGACTGAGTCAAAATAAAGAGACAGCTGCCCTCTTTTAGTCTCATAGTCCAGTTCAAGTTTGCGTAGCTCTTTGTAGGTTTCAGGATTCTCTCTTTCGTACAGACGAACAATGCGCTCAAATGTCTCACGCAACTTCTTCCTCTTGTCCCGCAACACCTTCTCATTCAGCAACGGCTGCTGAACTGGGTTGAACTCTGTTCAGAAACAAAGTAATTATTTTCATTAGAAAAGCAGCAAATTAATTGTAGAATTCAGATTTTGACTGTGATTTTCTGCTGTTACCTAAAGGCTTGAAATACTTAAATACACACACTAATTATATATAGCATTAATCTACTGATACATGTGTTCCACAAGCTCAGGTCCTCTACAAGTGGCAAACATACAACTAAATAGTTACAACTAAATATATCTCTAACATCTAAATTGCATAAACTCTGCCCTGTCATCTCACCCATCTCATCCAGCTTCTCCATGTCTCTGATGATTTGTCTGGGATCCTTCATCTTCAGGACTGCTGCTCTCACCATCATCCTCTGCTTCTTGTTCTAATATTTCCAAATGAAAACGATGTTACCATCATATTATCACAGTATTGTTATCCTGTATTGCATATTTAGAAATATCTTTTTTTTTTAAGTGAATGGTTCTAACCTTTTTTAACTCCCTTTTTCTGGCCTCCTTTCCTGTAGAAGGGGGGGAAGAAATTACCATTTTTATATCTAATCAGCAACTGAGCAATATCCAGCAGATCAATTCATGATTGAATTAGCGCCAGTTTGTTATCAGCACTTACTGGCCTGGTCGGTGGGATTCATAAACTTCCCACTCTTGGTGGAGGAGGTTGAACGTCGCCCCATTGTGACGGTAGGTCTCTTTCACGCTGCCATGTAATACAACAAAACAGAAGAGAAGTAAATTGTAAAGGAAACCTTACGTTGTTATTTTGTGGTACGTTCAAGAATAAGTCGGATTTTGTCACAAACTAAAATAACACTTTTAGCTCATATTTATGAATCACTGAGACTTTAAACAATGTTTGAATTCATTTTTGACAAATTGCAGCCTCCTTGTTGTTAATTCTAACTTCGATATCAAGGCAGTTTAACCAAACTATCTACAATACACGCCTTAAAGAATTTTACTGTTAGCTATTATTAGCAAAGAAGATAAGAAAGTTGACAATCAACGCACGAGTCAAACTATCTAAGCTCTTTGCACAATTAAACTATTGAATGAGCTGATAAACACCACAGAGCCAATCAAACATTTGTAACATACATACATACATATGTTAAATCATGCCGGTCAAAAGCATTTGCCTGGCAGGTTAGCGGCTAACGTTAGCTTGCACTTATAGCTAGGCCCGCGTTAGCAACGAAAGCAGCACAGGAGGGAAAAATTCACTGTACCTTTTGTTCAGTAAAAACTCACAGGGCACAACGCCCTACACACACGCACACCTCCGTGTGCCAAAAGCAATGCAACACGTTTTGCGTACGTCCTGAAAGAGAAATCCAAACCCCCCAGGATTGAATATCACACCGTGGCTTCGCTAACTGTCCGCCATGTTTACTGCCGCGAATGAAAGCGGAAAGGCGATTTTGACGTCATCAAAACAAGCGAGCAGTGAAAGAAAAATAAAACTAACTGGGCGAACGGTATTATTTAAAACTTCACTTCATAGCATTTGTACATATACTAGGACTTTATATTCATATTGTGTGGCGCAATGTAACTCTAATGATAATGAAGGGTGATTCTCGTTACAGGTTCCAAGACTGCAATTTAGCGATACTGCCCCCTGATGGTTACAAGCAGCAATTACAACCTCGCTGCACTGATGTGCCAAAAAGTGATCGTATGCCAATCACTTTTTGCGTGTTTTTTTTAATGTCTAGATCTCTTTTTATGTTTTTATATAGTTGCTTATATTGTTAAATAGGCTGCAGTAAACAGAGTTTAAAAATGGGTTATATGTTATATCAAATTTTAAAGCAGCTCTATGAATCTGCTTTATTGTACCTACATTATAAAGATCCACCCAGTCCTTTTCGGCCACTTGAAGAACATCACAGTTTTTTAAAGGACTGTGATTTTTTTTGTGACTTCTGCAGCCCTCCAGGCCAGACCTCGTTTGAAAACGACATTTTTAATGTCAGCGACACTTTTTACCTGAATAAATGAAAGCTGAATAAAAGTCACATCTGATGAAAGGAAGTTTCTTTTTGGATCAAAATGAATTGATCTCATTCATGAGAGAAACGTTTGACAGTTTATATGACAGCAAGTCATTTACATCTGTTACCATCAATTCTCTTTTGGCAAATACCAGAAATCACTTTGGCAAACGATCACTTTTTGGCACAACACTGGGCACTGGTCATTAGAGAACATGAATGATTATTGAATATTTAGTATGCAAACAGAATGACATAAATCTCTAGCATTCTGCACTTTATTCATGGAAGTTAAGTAATGTGTTGTCTTTAAAAAGACAAAGGTGCGAGTGAATTAAAGTTGGATGTTATGTTTTGTTCACAGTGCCTGAATATATATCATGGTCAAGAAGGACTTCAAATGAGCCCTTTTGAGTCAGATAAATAATAATATAAGTAGTGATTTTTCAAAATAAAAGTCCTATGAAGGTTTTATGAATTTTCTCAGCAGTGACCTTAAAGAGTTGTCCAAACACACAGTGGAATATATCTATAATACACAGAAACACAAACTTGTGCAGAAATTACATTTTAATTATCAAAGTCACATGTGAACTATTTACAGAAACATTTGTCATATATTTACAGTGCTTTTATCTACAGTTGATTTGTGTGTTTCACAGTTTTTGATTGTATGTTTTGTAGCAGTGCTCCTGCTGCTCTACATTCACCTCTCCTTTGCTCTTTTGCTCGGTGGATGTTGAGGATTTGGCTAACAGGAAATGTCAAAATGTGGGATTTTGACTTTTTGCCCATACATAAAGTCAATTTCTTCAAGTCCGTCCTCGTTTGTTGATGTTTCCACCATAGGACGATTCAGTCTCTCCCACAGGTTTTGTTTAAGACTTCTCCCCAGCTCTAAACTGTAGGGACGTTTGCGGCCATTCTTGGACCTGCAAGAAGAAATTCAATCAAAATGATGCATGTGGTCAAAAACCATACTGTAACCATTTTAGAGCTGGCGATTTTAAAAAGTGACAGGACATTTGGAGACAAACGTACGTCAGCCTGCTATCTACCACCTCATGGTAGACTCGCTGATAATCTTCCACTGAGAGGTTGTAGATTTTTAAAGGGCTGTCACTGGAGCTGGTTGGCTGGTGGTTGGTACTGCATGGCTCGGGTCTGGGGGGCAATTTTTTTGCCACTGGCAGGTCATCATGTGCGATTGCAGAGGGAGGCACTGAGGTCTTTGGAGGTCGGGATAACCTGGATGCTGGGCTTCGCTTCCTTTTCCGGGGCTGACTGACTGTTCTGTCACGGCGCCGGGGCCTCTGGGTTGAATTAACAACCTGGGGAAAGGTCAGAAGCACACAAGGGAATGTCAGTAGTTAATAGCGACCTCATCTTTTTCAAACAAGACAAAAATCTAAATTTGATGAACCACAATGAAGTCCAAACTCCAAAACCCTCAAATGATTCTGTTCCTGAAATTTTACACATCCAACCTGGTCCTTGCTGCAGCACGGTTGTTTCCTGCTGGCTCTGGGTTTCTTTGCATCACGGGCCTGGCATGCAGTGTTTCTCTTACAATAATTATGGTCTTTGAAGTGATCGGGCACAGTAAGCTGCAGGCATACACAAAAATGACAGTAATGCAGACATCAGTTAGTAGTTCATGAAACATTTAAAAAATAACAAACCCTTTCATATGTCCATAAACTACTTAAACCACTCGCATGGTTGAATAACTTGTCCACAGTGATTGTGACGACAAAAAATATCCAACATGTTCACATAAAATCATAAGAACTAAAACCAGGACAATGCATCAAGGTCAGTGTAATAAAAGACGTGTCAACTTATGGGCTCGTCGTGTTAGAGCTTCACTGCTGCATACCCCCAAATGACATGTCAAATAATAATTTGCATAAGCTAAACAAACACCAAAGTCCATGTTGTATTAAACTCTAATTTCTGTTATAATCATTGCTGCTTATTGCCGTTTTTGAACAATGCAGATGCACAAAATACCTTTGTAACTGGCTAAGCTTGGTCACGTGTGGCACTTATATGGTTTAAAATTACGTGTAGGATATAAAGAAAAGCAAGCTACAATAATAGGAGAGCCCTGCCTTGTGTGTGGGGGGTAATGAGTTCAAGATCATCATTAGGCTGTGGTGTAATGAGGGACCTCTACCCAGAGGTGACTGTCTTGTCAGGTGAATAATTGTAGCATAAGCCACAATGAAGAAGGAGATTAAAACTTTAGTTTAAAAAGCCCAAAAGCAGAAGCTTTGAGGATTTTAAAGATGATCACAGTTACATGTGGCTCCTGTAAACATGTGACAGTGTGTGTACATTTGAAAATTCAGATGATGCTGCAGAACATGGCTTGCAAATTTGTAAATAAACATTTTGGGGATTAGCTTTTCTACAGTGAATAAAGTCTCAGTGTTTACTTGTTTTATTCCCTGATTTTAGTTTTAAATACAAAATAAAGGCCCCCAATCAGGAACATGCACAGCCCCCCCCCCCCCAAAAAAAAGCTAGAAACAGGCCTGGTGATCATTATGCACTTGAGTTAATTCGAGATGTAAGATACTCTACTTATTAGCAAAAACTGAACATTTTTATCCCAGCTGCAAACTTTGGTGACATGTCTGCCACAAGATCATTTAATACACGCAAAAGAAAACGTTATTATAGGTAACATACTAGTTTAAATGACTTTATGCACAGTTTACCCGTTTACAGCTACAGTGCAACAGTCTAACATGCAAGTATAACTCCCACGTGCACAGGCCTAAGTTTTTAATGCTTTTTATCCACATTTATGTCGTCTATATTTTCATGTTGCCCTGTTGCAAAGTGAACTCTTTCTGGCCGTCGAGTAAATATTCAAAACTTATTGAAAACGGTCATAAAATCTCACATTTTCCATGATGGATGATGGTTGCTGGGTCGCTTTCCTCCGTGACATGGGAGTTGGACACTTGTAAGGCTGCAAGAAGTCTTGAGCAGAAAGTTGTCTTACTTTTGCAGAAATTTGCAGAAATCCCTTGTAGCTTTGCACAACACGCCGAGTGAAATCTGTCTGAACTATACCAAAAGATGCAATGCAAATCGAACCTGGAGACGCATAGCAACCACGCAACCTGTCATGTTAAATCACGCATTTTTGTACCTACTGTTAAAAATCACTGTAATAATTGTTTTTAGTGAGTTTTTCCCTCAGTTCAACCTCAGTTATGGCGGCTTTTTTAATATTTAGGCATCCACATAATTACTCCATCAAAGTGGTGCGTAATGATCATACGAAAATACGTCAAAACAGAGCAAAAGTGGTTTTGTTTGCCACAGCATATCACAGCAGCTCATTGTATTTGAAAACTACTGGATTTCATAAGTTGTGCTTATTTTATAAATGGCCCGGAGAGTAGCAAATTCTCTCTTTCTACTCACTGTACTGAACCCGCTGCACTACCCACTTTCACCAATAGGTGTCACCCTTTTACCGTGGAACCAGCTATGTACAGCTCCAAAGTCAATCGCTACAGAGATCTGTTGCAGTAATAACTTCTTTCCAAAAGGTGTCTGTATAAAAATCTCTGTTATGCTCTGTCAGTTTGCAGTGCCTTAGTCTGTGGTGACATTTTTGTTGGCTCATGCTCATGAATCCACATGCAACGCACTGTCTGTCCCAGCCTCAGAAATGGATTTAAGACGTTTTAGTTTGATATATCGCCCTGTGGTCAGTTTTTGACATTCGTTTTGTTGCGGTCTTGAAAACAGAAAACAGTTACATCTGAAAGAAGATTTTAAATAAAACAAAAAGGGACAATTATATAATACATAATAATACATAAATGTAAATTGTCTGTTTTTTATACAGCACTTTTCTGCTCCACTTGCACACTCAGAGCACTTTATGAAACATGCCTCATTCACCCATTCACACACACATTCATACCCTTTTGTAGTGTTTTTTAAATAACATTGACATGCATTCTCACTCTATACTGTTTATGGCATACAGTATCTGCTTTGTTGTTGCATCACTAAAAGAACTTTTTTTTTTCTTGAGCTCTTATGGAGCTCATCTGAGTTTATTTCAGATTGTGGGAGGAAAGAAAATGAGAACGCAAACCCCAGCTCATCAGGGGGTCTGAACCAGGGATTTTTAAAATATTATTTTATTTTAGTGCTTGACTGAGAGCGAGCAATCACAAATTAAAAGATCTACATACAAGTTTTGAAAAGAGACTTTTTTATTTGATTACATTTTGTATGATGGATTATGCAGAAAAAGTAGAATTGGGCTGAAAGGTCTATTGCTTTATTGCCTATTCAGGTTGTGTATCATGTTTTTAAAAAGTAACTAAGTAACTGAGTAACTAACTACTTTTGAAAATAAGCAGTCAGTAAAGTAACGGGATTACGTTTTTTTGGATAAGTAATCAGTAATTAGTTACTAATTATTTTTTTTCAAGTAACTTGACCAACACTGGTCATCATAACATCAAACAGGGGTAACTTAATGAAACCCTTGCATTAGAAAAACTTAAAAGATTGTTTAATTTTTAGAAATTAGTGAAATGTGTAGTATAAAGACGGTGACCTGTTTACTTAAAATTAGCAGCAGGTATTAGACATTGACCAGACGGATCTAAGGAGGCATGATATCTCCAAAACAAAACAAAACAAAACAAAACAAAACAAAACAAAACAAAACAAAACAAAACAAAACAAAACAAAACAAAACAAAACAAAACAAAACAAAAAACAAAACAAAACAAAAAACAAAACAAAAAAAACTCCAGAAAAACAAAAAAACTCCTAATAAATAAATAAATAAATAAATAAATAAATAAACATAGAACATAGGTAAACAGGATATTTGATGTTGCCAGAACTTTGCATATCACTGCACAGTGATCCAGTGACAGATTTGACCCATTTATACATCATTTTCTTTATTCATTTATTTTTTTGTGACCTTATAATAGTTTTATTATACTTAAATCACATATATTGGTGTTTACTTTTACTGTAAGTCTTATTACTGCTAAAATTAACGGAATAATTCAATATTTATAATTTATTTAGTTTTAATTGAGTTGCATACAAAAAATGTATGTACATTCTGTTATTACCGCATTATTATAGCAGCGTCATCAAGTACTGTAACACTAGGACGTGCTACAGTTTGATATGTATGTTTGTATGTTATATTTATGAAAAATGCCAGTGAGAAGAAAAATGATGATAAATCAATGGTGCTGTAAAGGTTCTGTGTGTTTTCCCAAATGGTTTTTATACGTTTGGATGTTCTGCAATCGGAAGCCCTTAGAGTGTGCTGTGGAGCTTTTAAGACGTCTCCAGTCGGTGCCCTACAGGTGGAGATGGGAGAAATGCCCCTAGATCTTAGGAGGAAGCAAGTGTCGGTGAATTACTGGGTTCATCTTGGTGGTCATGGTGACGCACATCCCACAAAGGAGGTACTTTTGGAATGCTGGGAGTATGGAAGAAGTCAGAAGGCTCATTTTGGAAAGGTGGGGAATCAGTGGGCTAAGGAGTGTCAGGTGTATGAACTTAAAATATGTCCTGCAGTAGTGTTCTCTGTGGTTCCCCCATGGTTATTGGAGACCCCTCCTGTGGACTGGTACTTGCTGGATCTGAAGAGAACATTGAAAGGCAGAGTCGATCTTGTTTCAGCATTTCATTTTCACAGCTTGACTGCATACCCTGAGTGTATTCATGTGTTCACGGATGGTGCTAAAAGTCCAGTTACTGCAAGTACAGGGTTTGGACAGTTCCGTCAAAAAATATTGGAATACACAGACACACTTCGCATTGACTGGCAGTATACACGGTTGAAATGGTAGCAATTTTGGTAGCATTGAAATGGGTAGAGTGTTCGAAAATCAGGCAGGTGGTAGTGTGTTCTGACTCGGCAGCTGTTCTTTCAAGTCTACAATCATTTTGTTCAAAGACAAGGCAGGGCATGCTGTATGCTATTCTGGAGACTGTCAGCAGAATAAGGTGTTGTGGTGGCAATATTCACTTTCTTGTAGGGATCAGTGGAAATGAAAAGGTGGATAGGTTGGCGAAAAGAGCGTTGACTAAAAATAGGACTGAGATGGAAATTACAAGCAGTGGATCTGAAGCGAAAGGTGTTGTTTGGAGGCAGGTTGTTCAGGAGTGGCAGAAGCGGTGGGATTCAGGGAGTACGGGCAGGCAATTGTATCAGCTTACGAAGGAGGTGGCAGTGAGTAGGTTGTATAGGGGTAATAGGAGAGATGAGGTGGTCATTAGCTTAGACTGGGACATTGTGCATTAAATAAAACACTACAGATGATAGGAGAACATGAGACGGGGCTTTGTGGAGTGTGCCAGGAGGAGGTGGAGATAGTAGAGCATGTAATACTGCAGTGCAAGGGTTATGATGTGGAGAGGTCAGTTCTGCAGAATAGATTGAAGGAGCGGGGAATTGGGGTATTTAATCTGAAGAGTGTGTTGGAGGGTAGTAGGGCACAGGTGAGGGAACTGGTGGGGTTTCTGAAGGCTATAGGTGTTTATGAAAGAGTGTAGGGTTTTGTTTTTTGTTTTTTTGATACAGCTTGTGAACTCACTGTCTGACCCATACTCCAGAACAGTAGGAGGCGGTAATGCTCCTTTACGTTGGTTGCCAACCGCCGTTAAACACAAAGAAGAAGAAGAAGTCCACGAGGGCCGGTGTCCCTGCAGGTTTTAGATCTCACCTTGGGTCAACACACCTGAATCACATGATTAGTTCGTTACCAGGCCTCTGGAGAACTTCAGGACATGTTGGGGAGCTAATTTAGCCATTTAAATTAGCTGTGTTGGTTCGAGGACACCGGCCCTCGTGGACTGAGATTGCCCACCCACCCCCAACCAATGGCAGCAGATGGCCGCCCCTTCTTGAGCCTGGTTCTGCTGGAGGTTTCTTCCTAAAGGGAGTTTTTCCTCCCCACTGTCGCCCAGTGCTTGCTCACAGGGGATCATTGGATTGTTGGGGTTTTCTGGCTTTTACTGTAGTATTTTCACCTTACAGTATAAAGCAGCTTGAGGAGACTGTTGTTTTGCCATGATGCAATATAGTATTAAATATTACTAAATTTTAAAAACATCTATTATAGCATCAAAGTAAAACAAAAAAACTAAAGTATACTTCAATGAAATTAATCAAAATGTCTAATCTGGCAAAAAAAGAAAAGAAAAAAGGTTTCACCTTTAAATAAAAATCCAAATCACAAACACATTCTGATTTTTGTTGTGTGGTTTTTTGTGTGTGTTGTCAAGTATAAAATTTTTGCACTCTGTCATGGTCTCGGTGTCTGCCCGGCCGGCTCCGCAAGGCTACATATGTTTATTGTGTTGCTGCTTTCTTCCACTCGTCATTCTGCCTGGGTGGAGCTCAGGCCCACGCACCTGTCTGCAATTACGCTGCATGTATGAACATGTATGTTCCGTGTGAGACAAAGGTATCTTTACGAAAACAGCAACGTACAAGCTTCTTATGTTCGACACTTTTAATAATTTTAGCTATTTTTGATTAGTGTTTAGATGAAGTAGTTTATCTGTGCAATAGAAATTAGAAATTAGAAATGTGCAGTTTACACGAAATAAACACACACACACGTAGGATGACCATATTTTGATTTCCAAAAAAAAGAGGACACTCGGCCCAGTCATGATAAACTTTAATAATACTGTTTTCTTGAAGAAAATAAGATAATTTTAACACATTTAAACGATGCCTTCTCGGTGTGGTTAGTGAATGGTGAAACAAAAAATGTCATATAGGCTTTTACAAGTCAACAAGGGCAAAATAATAATAATAATAACTTAAAGCCAGTGGAATTAAATAATGGTACAGAAATAAGGCCTAATCTAAATAAGAAAAATGACCAGTACCGGGACGCTACGAGGGAAATTTCTTTTGCAGCTCTGTCCCGTCTGTGAGCGCGGAACAACAACTCACAAAGCAGCAGCTCAGGGATGACGTCACACATATGAGTCCTCTGTAGGAAAACCCGGACATCTATCATCTATCTCGAAAATCTCGAAAAGAGGACGCTATATCAATAAAGCTGAATTGAATGCAGTAC